AGGTGGGGAAGGAGGAAAGGAGAGAATCTGGAACTCAAAGTTTTAAATACAAATGTTAAAAATTGTTTTTACATGTATTTGGGGGAAAATAAAATACTAAAGAAAAAGGAAAAAAAAGACAGCAAACTTAATAAATATTGTGTGTGCTCTGACTGCTCCACTGACCAACCATTCCCCCATCTCTCTCCCTCTCCTTGGGTCTCCCCATTCCCTGAGATACAATATTGAAATTAGGCCAACTAATAACCCTACAATGGCCTCTAAGCATTTTGTCTTATTTTAAGAAATTGCCATAGCTACCCCAACCTTCAGCAGCCACCATACTTATCAGTCAGCAGCCACCAACATTGAGGTGACCCTCCACCAGCAAAAAGATTATGGCTCAGATGATGGTTAGTATTTTTTAGTAATAAAGTATTTTTTAATTAAGGTATATACTTTTTTAGACATAATACTTATTATACACTTAGTAGACCATAGTTAAGTAGACCATAGTTAAGTTAAATATAACTTTTTATGTACTGGGAAACCAAAAAATTTGTATGACTTGCTTTATTGTGATATTCCCTTTACTGTGGTGGTCTGGACCTGAAACCACATATCTCCAAGGTCTGCCTATATTCGTGATCAGCTTCCCTGACTCTTAATCCATCTATGTTTCTACTATATTACAACAGAGGAAGACACAGTGGAAAATGAGAGGCAGAAGGTAGGGACTGAGAAGGGCTAGTATTGAGTTTAATTTGAAAGTGGGAAGGGTAGGTAGGTGGTGCAGTGGATAGAGCACCGGCCCTGAAGTCAGGAGGACCTAAGTTCAAATATGGCCTCAGACCAAACACTTAATACTTACAATCTGTGTGGGTAAGTCACTTAATCCTAATTACCTGAAAAAGAAAAGAAAGTAGGGAGGAAAAGAGAGAGTTAAGGGCCAGCATGTGCCCTTTCTGGCTTAACCCCAGCCCTTTTGTTTGAATGGAACCATTTCCTATAACAGGCATATACTAAGCATATGCCAGTCATATACCTATACCAGTTGGAAGGAAGGGGGATGCAGGCAGCTTGTCTACACCACTCTGATAGAAAGGTGGGGACAGCAGCTTGAAGGTCACAGGACCCTTGGGGTGGAGAAGTAAGGCCAGGCCTGGAAAGAGACAGAGGAGGATCAGATAGGTACGTGCTGGTGCTGGGTTGGAAGCACGTTGTCCTTCCCCCACCCCAGGTTGCTGGCATCTGACTACAGGGCAGTTATCAGGGTAATTGCTTGGGACTAGTTCTTGTGTTGCACAGTTGTAACAAAAGCAGCTTCCAGTCCCTACAGAAATATTTTAGAGGCAGAGAATAGCTAAAAACCAAGAAGAAAGCCAGCACTTGAATTTGAATGGTCACTTCCTTCTCCATTCTCACCTCTGTCTCATGGAATCTCTTCCCTTCCTTCAAAGCACAGTTTTAGGGTCACCTCTTAGGAAAGGATTGATTTCCTCAGTAGCTAGTGCTCCCTCAACAGAAATAATAACAGTTATCACTTATATAGTGCTTTTACTTATGAAGTTTGCAAAGTGCTTAAATATGTTATCTCAATTGGTCTTCAGACAACCCTGTGAGGTAGGTGCTGTTAGGATTCACCCCATTTTAGAGATTTTTGTCCAAAGGCTGTCCCTCCACCTCACACATAACCATGACACAAATAGGCTTTGGGAGAAGGCCTTGCCCTTCCTGGGAAGGAAGAGTGAGAGAAATCAGAAAAGAACAGTTCTCAAGAGGAGAGGTTTTAAAACCCAAAGGGCCCGATTTCAAAATCAGAGCAAACCACACCCTTGGGGTCACTCAGAAGAAGGCTCACTTCCTTCTTGGTACTGGCATACCTCAGAGATATTATTGTGGTGGTCTGGAACTGAACCAACAAGTTAACTATTGCAACAAAGTGAATCACACACATTTTTGGTTTCCTAGTGCATATAAAAGTTATGTTTACACTAAACTATAGTCTATTAAGTGTGTAATAGTATTATGCCTAAAAACAAACACACGTACCTCAATTAAAAAATGCTTTATTACTAAAAAATGCTAACCATCATCTGAGCCTTCAGTAAATCATAATCTTTCTGCTGGTGGGAGGTCTTGTCTTGAGGATCTTGCTGGTGACTGATCAGGGTGGTAGTTGCTGAAGATTGGAGTGGCTGTGGCAATTTCTTAAAATAAGACAACAGCAAAGTTTGCCACATGAGTTAACTCTTCCTTTTACTTGAACACGCTTAGAGGCCACTGTAGGTTTATTAACTGGCCTAATTTCAATATTGTTGTGTCTCAGGAAATAGGGAGGCCCAAGAAGAGGGAGAGATGGCAGAATAGCAGGTCAATGGAGTAGTCAGAACACACACACAAAACATTTATTAAGTGCATTGTCTGATATGGGCATGGTGCCCTAAAATAATTACAATTAATTACAAAATAATTACATCAAAGATTACTAACTGGTCACAGATCATTACAACAGATATAATAATAATAATGAAAAAGTTTGAAATATTGCAAGAATTACCAAAATGTGACACAGAGACACTATGTGAGTACATGCTGTTGGAAAAATGACACTGATAGGTTTGTTCGATGCAGGGTTGTCACAAACATTCAATTTATAAAAAATGCAGCAATCTGAGAAGCACAATAACACAGCTGTAGGATAACATACAAACTCTGTTTTTTAAAGCCCTTCACAATCTGGTTCCAGGTAATAAATAGATTTAATAACATCATTCCCCTTCGTGTGTGTGTGTGTGCACGTGTATGTGTGTGTGTATACATATATGTATATATAAATATATACATACACATATATATGTATATATACACATACACACACACAGCAATATACTATTGTGTATATTACGTATTTTGTATATTTACAGCAGTATACTCTTGGGTATATATGTGGATATATACATGCATACAGCAATATATACTTATGTGTATATATGCATATACACACAGCAATGTACTCTTATGTGTGTATATGTATATACACACACAGCAATCTCTTGTGTATGCTCTATATACAGTATACTCTTGCATTATATGTGTATATACATTCTCACAAGCATATACATATATTTACAGCAATATATTCTTGTGTGTACATTATATATTTAAATTTATATATATACAGACAAAGCAACATATTTTTGCATGTATATATGTGTATACACACACAGAGCAATAAACTCTTCAGCGTGGAATTTAACAAAGGCTTTTTGATGAATGAGTAAAAGGATAAATGAATGACAAGAAAGGAGTTTGAGAAAAGTTAGGATAAATTTCTAATTTCATGATGATCAATTCATAATGCATTGATCTATAATGCATCGATGACAGAGATGACAGGTTTTCAAGGATATAGAACTCTACATCCTTGTCCAAAGACTGTCCCTCCACCTCACACATAACCATGACACAAATAGGCTTTGGGAGAAGGCCTTGCCCTTCCTGGGAAGGAAGAGTGAGAGAAATCAGAAAAGAACAGTTCTCAAGAGGAGAGGTTTTAAAACCCAAAGGGCCCGATTTCAAAATCAGAGCGAACCACACCCTTGGGGTCACTCAGAAGAAGGCTCACTTCCTTCTTGGTACTGGCATACCTCGGAGATATTATTGTGGTGGTCTGGAACTGAACCAACGAGTCAAATATTGCAATCAAGTGAATCACACACATTTTCTGGTTCCCTAGTGCATATAAAAGTTATGTTTACACTAAACTATAGCCTATTAAGTGTGTAATAGTATTATGTCTAAAACCAAACACACGTACCTTAATTTAAAAATGCTTTATTACCTGTGAGAAAAGTGCTGTGAAAGACAACCACATTGTAAGTGCCCTTTCATTGCTAATCTCTGAGACAGAATAAATAATGAGCCAGGCTCACTCAAGAAGGTATTCTTTATATTCTTATTCGAAGCTAGGAAAATAACAAAGGCTCAGGAGGCCAAGAAATAGGATAAAAGCAGAAAAGCCAAGCTTGTGTAGAGAAGATAAAGGGGGTAGCGCAGAGGATAGAGCACCAGCCTTGAAGTCAGGAGGCCCTGAGTTCAAATCCAGCCTCAGACCAAACACTTGACACTTACTAGCTGTATGACCCTGGGCAAGTCACTTAACCCCAATTGCCTAAAAAAAATAACAATTAATAATTTAAAGAAAAGATAAAGGAGTTGTGATTATATAACCTAGAGAAAAGAAAGCTGAATAAAATATTTGTTAATGTGTAGATAGTTCCCATCTTTACCAGGCCAGGGGAGTACAATGAAAACTGTAGCATGGGGCATTCAGTAAATATTTATGAAAGAATCTCTGGGTTGCAATGGCTGCTACAATGCAAGGATGACTGAGAAAAGTCTGTAAACTTAGACGAGACTTTTTTTTTTCTGTTAAGCCTGAAGTACATCTGTTACTGGGGCATTTAGGTGGTGTAGGGAATAGAAAGCTGGGCCTAGAGTCAGGAAGACTCATCTTCTTGAGTTCAAATCTGGCCTCAGACACTTACTAGCTGTGTGACCCTGGGCAAGTCACTTAATCCTGTTAGCCTCAGTTTCTTCCTCGGTAAAATGAGCTGGAGAAGAAAATGGCAAACCCCTCCAGTATCTTTGCCAAGAAAACCCAAGATGGAGTCTTAAGAGTCAAACTCAACTGAAATGACTCAACAACAAAAACAAAGCTGTTACTACCTAGAGCAGGGGTGGGGAACCTGACATCTAGAGGCCACATGTGGCCCTCTAGATCCTCAAGTGCTGCCATTTGACTGAAGCCTAACTTCACAGAATAAATTCCATTAATAAAAGGATTTGTTCCAAACCCAAGGACCTAGAAGGCCACATGTGGCCTCAAGGCTGCAGGTTCTCCACCCCTGGCCTACAGCCAAGGGGAAAGAAGAAAGGAACTTCAGTAGCCTCAATCTGTGAATTTCCTTGGGAAGTGGTCTTTCACATTATGAGAATGAATAACGTTCTTTTCTTACCTGAACTTTCCCAACCAAGAGTCAGCCATGACTGCTCCCAAGAGAGGTGTGAAATAGCAGAGGCTGCTGAAGGCATGGTATACAGATGTAGATGTGTCTTCACTCCAGTGTAGGAAGTACAGAAAGTAAAGTGTCAGCACAGCTAGAGGGAGAAAAGGGTACAGGTGAGATGAAAGTTGGATTAGATCCCTATCTGGGAAGGGAGGGGTTAGAAGTTAATGATCAAATAGAGAACCTGTACAGTTATGTGAAGGATAGAGTACATTTTCAAATACCTGTACTAATGGAGTGGAACCAAAACACAAATAATCCAAAATAATGGCTTTACAAAAATCACTTCTGTTTGGCTTGGAATGCATTGTGTGATGTGATGATTTTATGGCAGATTTCCTTTGTCAATTGTATTTGGTCAGTTAAAATTAATCTACCTGCCCTAAGCACCTAACGTAGAAGTGGCAGAAAGACAGCCAGTCTAGGATTAAAATTTGCCATAGATAATGCAAAAAATTAATAATCTGCATACAGATGAGAAACTGAGTTAGTAAACTAATCTCCCCGTCTCTGGGAGGTTGGAATGGGCCATGAGACACAGTAGACTAACGCTTAGGATGCCAAAGGAGTCTCTGCTCCCAGGGCATCACACAGTAGCCAATGCCTGTTTGCAGTTTAACTTCCTGGATTTGAAGGCCACCAAAGATTTGCAAAGGATTTAGAGAAGGAGGCAAAGGGGAGGGGTTGTTGGGAGGGGGGAAGACACATGCATTTTAATATACCTTTGCTCTGGGTTTCATAGGTAGTTCAGGGACTAGAAATGGTCTTTAAAAATTTTTTTAATTGTAATTTTACAGTGATTGAATTTTAAAAGCTCTAGGCAAAAAATAAGACTCAGAACAATGAGCTAGAGGCAAAGCTGAGACTAGGGGTAGACAAGGTAGGTGCCCTTTAGGGTAAAATACATGGAGGTACAATAAGGTGTATTTTTTAAACATGATTCTATAAATTCATATATTTTTACTGCCAGAAAGTTGTTCTCTCTGTGGTCTGTAGGTATTTATTTTGTGATAAGTTAAGTTCTACATGTTAAGGCTCAAAGTAACCCAAGGTTAGGGGAGGGGAGGGAGGGATTTTTGTAACCATAACTAGTACATAAAAAATGCCCTATTGGGGCAGCTGGATGGTGCAGTGGATAGAGCACTGGCCCTGGATTCAGGAGGACCTGAGTTCAAATGTGGCCTCAGACACTTGACACTTACTAGCTATGTGACCCAGGGCAAGTCACTTCACCCCATTGCCTGGCCAAAAGACAAAAAAAAAAAAAGAAAAGGGAAAAAAATTCTGTCCGGCCCTGGTTGGTGAAATAAACTTTTGTCTCAAAGATTTAGTCCCATATGGAGAGACTGATGACACAAAAGAGGGAAGGGATATTTGATAATGCAAAGTAAGATAGGAAAGGATGGAGTAATAATGCAAATTTGGGTAACATATTGCCTGGCACATAATAGAGGGTTAATATGTGTTTATTGACTGGAAAAAAAAAAGATTTGTCCCACCCTGAAAAATTCAGACTCCTTGGGAAAAGTATATGGAGAATTCATCCTTGACTTCTTTTAGATCAGACTTTTGGAGATCATCTAAGCAATTCTGTGTTCAGTGCTGTCTATGGGAGGGAAATGGCTTCTGAGAAGACTGACAGCTGGACAATAGAATCAGGTCACGGTTAAGGAATCATGGGACCACAGCTAGCAGGGACAAAGAGTGCATAAGCATATCTCAAAACTCACTCCTACTTCCTCTGGTCAGTGTGTGTTGATAGTACTGGTACTAACCTGTACTTCTGGTACTAATACAAAGCTAACACCTCTGCCGGGCAGGGATTTCACAGCTGGCTTCATGCCAACACTCTGGACTACTATGAAGATATGGTGAATTCATAGACCATTGGGTCTGAAAGCAGTTTTTCTTCAGGTGTGGGGTCCTGGGCAAGCCACTTAACTTCTCTAATCATTAATATCTTCACCTGTAAAATGCCTGCCTTGCAGGGTTGTTGTGGGGAAAGAGCTTCATAAACCTCAAAATGCCAGAAGAATGTGGTTATTGTTATTATAGTTGTTATTTCTCAGCCCACACAGGGTCAGGGCAGGGATTCTATAGTTTCTGGGTGAGAGTAGCAGGAGCTTTCAGAATTCAGCTAAGGGCGGGAGAATTTTTCTATTCCCACCTTTAGTTTTGGTAGCTTGCGGTAAGATTTCTTCATTTAGGGCCTGGACTTCTACTTTTAACTGGTGTGAACTACAAAGTAATTCCTCATAAACAGTAGGAATTCTAAGATGGCTAAGCCTAGGCCAGAAAAGAAGGCTTGTCTTATGCTAAGAGAGGAAGGGGAATTATCTGACTCCAGGGTTGGAGGGGGGATATGGTACAGGGGAATGGAAGAGTGAGATAGGTGGGGAGGGGTATTTGGGGATTCACAGAGTACCTTTCATGCCATAGTAGGAGAATCGTTCACAGAACTCATTCACCACGATGAAGGCAATGCTCAGTGGGTAATTAGAGCCACAGATTTTCTATGGAACAAAATGGTGGTACATTGGGGTAAGGGTGTAGTACAAATACACTTGAAATGTCTGAACCCATGGCCTTAGTCAGAAAACGTACTTTCCCATCCCCGCAAGTGATGATGAGCTCCTTGAGGGGCACCTGTTCAATCTGTTTTAGTTGTGTCTGAACCTATGACACCTGTGACCCCATTTGGGGTTTTCTTGGAATGGTTTGCCATTTCCTTCTCAACTCATTTTATAGATGAGAAAACTAAGGCAAAGTTAAGTGACTTACCCAGGGTCTGTCTAGTAATTGTCTGAGGCCAGATTCGAACTCAGGAAGAGTCTTCTGAACACCAGGCCCAGCATTCTTTTTTTTTTTTGGCTGGGCAATGGGGTTAAGTGACTTGCCCAGGGTCACACAGCTAGTAAGTACTATGTGTCTGAGGCCCGATTTGAACTCAGGTCCTCCTGAATCCAGGGCTGGTGCTCTATCCACTGTGCCACCTAGCTGCCCCCTAGGGCCAGCATTCTATCCATTATGCCAGCTAGCTTCCCTCCTTGAGGGCAGGGACTGTCTTTTGTCTCTTTTGTTACCCCCAGCACTTAGCAACTTAGCATAGTACCTGATACATAACAGATACTTAATAAATGTTTGTTGATTGAATGATTGGTGAGATGATACCCATGGTTTCCACTCCCCAGGATAAACTTGCTTGAGGTGGCAATTCTGGAATAATGGCCGTGTCTGAGTTATTTTGTACATTTTTATGTACATTGTATAGAAGCATCAAAATGCATAAAATCTCGTTGCCCAAACCTCCTGTAACTCCTACAGCAGTCCCAAGATCCTACCCTTCTTCCCAGAATATCATGGGCAATGTTTGTGGAGCTAGAGTAGAAGACTCTTGTGACAAGACCACTTATCTATGAGGATTTCTTTCCCTCTGCCACATGGGACAGGCCAGTGTTTCCCTCAAGGGTGACAAAACCTTCATCCAAGGGAGTAAAGTTCAACCTGTACCTCACTTGATACAGTTTCCTGGTAGCCTCAGTCCATATTGACCAGTGTCCAGGTTGCCCAAGGACATAAAAAGATCCATTCAGCTGAATTTGGGCAGAAGGCCAAAGCCACACAAGTTACCACGCCTTTGCCTACAGGCAAAGAGGCCAGCATCTACACAAACTAAGTGTAGTAGTATCCTAGTTGAATATCCTTTCTATGCTATGGCTAAATAAAACCTCCTTTTTAACTGTTGAATGACCTCTAAATGTTCCAACCCTTAACCTAAACTAATAGGAAGGGAAGATCTCCAAAGCTAAGGATTTCATTTTAATCTTCATCCTCCTTCATCTCTCCACAGCCTTTGACACTGTGCATCACCTTCTTCTAAGTTTTCTTGACACTGCTGTCTCTTGATTCTCCTCCCACCTGTCTGACCACTCCTGAGTTTCCTTGGCTGCATCTTCAACCCAAGGCTCTTGGTCCTCTTCTCTTCTCCCTCTAGATTAATTTGTTTGGTAATCTGACTAGCTACCATAGATTTAATTATCATTTCAATATTGATGGTTCTCAGATCTGTCCGTCCAGTTTTAATCTCTCTGCTGACTTCCAGTCTCACATCTCCAACTGTCTATTGGATATCTTGAACTGGATGTCCTATTTCTTAAATCAAACATGTTTAAAATTGAACTTATTATCTATCCCCTGCCCCTCAAAAATATCTTTTATCAGGGGCAGCTAGGTGGTGCAGTGGATAGAGCACCAGCCCTGAAGTCAGGAGGGCCTGAGTTCAAATCTGTCTTCAGACCAAACACTTGACACTTACTAGCTGTGTGACCCTGGGCAAGTCACTTAACCCCAACTGCCTCACCAAAAAACAAAACAAAAACAAAAAAAAAAACCCTCTCATCTTTCTAACTTCCCTAATAAGGGTACCAATATGCTCCTAGTCATCCAGGCTTTCAACCTATGTGTCATCCACAACTCTTCACCCTCATATCCCATACTAATCAATTTCTACCTTCATAGTATTTCATGCATATGGCCTCTTTTTTTATACCACCAATTATACTGCCATCACCCTGGTGCAAGCCCCCAACACTTCCTGCCTAAGTTATTGCATTAGTTTGATGGTTAGTCTCCCTGCCTTAAGCCTCTCCCAAGTCTATTCCACCCTCACTCAACTGTCAAATGAATCTTCCAAAAAGGACAGATCTAACAATGTCATCCCTAATCTCCTGTGGTTCCCTCCCTATCACTGTTAGAATCAGGAATAAACTCCGCTACTTTTAAAGCCCTTTCCTACTTCTCCAATCTTCTTATACCTTCCTCTCTCCCCTGCTCCCACCCCATGTACTCCAGGGTCCTGCAACACTGACCTCCCTGTGTCTGGCATCAAACATTCATCTTTGGACTCCACACATTGTCACCGACTTCCTTCAAGTCTCAGCTAAAGCTCTACCTTCCTAGCCTTCCTTCATCTTAAAGCCTTCTCTCTGAGATTATTTCCAATTCAATCATTTGTACATAGCTGTTTACATGTTGTCTTCCCCATTAGATTGTGAGTCCATGAAAGCAGGAACTGCTGCCTTTTTTTAAAATCTTTCTTTGTATCCCCTTGAGCTTAACAGAGTGCCTGGCATATGACAGACACTTAATGCTTATTGAACGACTGACCCGAATGAGGTACAATCGCTATATTGGGCATTTATAGACAGAATAGTTTAGAATTCAATTTGAGGCATAACTACAGGTAAAGACATGAGATATTATGAAGGTAGAAACTGATTATTATGGGATATGAGAGTGATGCATTGTGGATGACACATAAGTTGAGTCTAGCCATTTGCCTTTGCTTGACCAGGTTAAATTAAACCTGTCCTATATTCAGTGTCCTGTTAACCTTAGTATTATCCTAGTGGAAAGATTCTTTCTCTCTTTCTTTTCCTCTCATAAAGATCTAAACACGGGGCAGCTAGGTGGCGCAGTGGATAGAGCACCGGCCCTGGATTCAGGAGGACCTGAGTTCAAATCCAGTCTCAGCCACATAACATTTACTAGCTGTGTGATCCTGGGCAAGTCACTTTAACTCCACTGCCTAGCAAAAAAAAAAAAAGATCTAAACAGGAATTGAATTCTACTACTTAGGTGGGAGCATGAGTGAAAGAGAATTACTTATTAAGAAACCTCCTAGATTAAACCTGGTCTCTATTATCCTAAAGTTTCAGTAGTGGGCTACAAGCTATTTAGGGATAACCTCTGCATCCTTGTAGGGGAATGCTTGCAAACACAGTGACTCTCCAGTTTGAGGGACATCGTATTTTTGAAACAGGGCACGTTAAAAAAAAGACAGAAAATATTCTTAGAGGTCAGTTTAATTTTAGCGTACCAGGTTGTGCTCTCCATTGATCAAAGACTTAGTTAAGACCCATTTAACTCAGAACATGAAAACATTCTATCCACTGTGCCACCTATATATATATCCCCTAAAGTTGGGAGGACTTGAGTTCAAATCCAGCTTCAGACACTTCCTAGCTATGTGACCCTGGGCAAGTCAGGTCACCCTGTTTGTCTCAATTTGTCTTTGCCAAGAAGACCCCAAATGGGGTCACAAAAAGTAAGACATGGGGGCAGCTAGGTGGCACAGTAGATAGAGCACCAGCCCTGGAGTCAGGAGGACCCAAGTTCAAATCCGACCTCAGACATGTAACATTCACTAGCTGTGTGACTCTGGGCAAGTCACTTAACCCCAGTTGCCTCACCAAAAAAAAAAAAAAAGACACAACTGGAATGACTGAATAACTCAGAACACAAAACCACTGATATATTGCAAAATTTTATGTTCACTTTTCCTCCAAGTCTCCAAGAAAGGGAGATTTTACAACTCCAGTTGGATTTCTACTGTCCTGGATGTTAGAAGAATCATTCCCACAGTACTCAGTACAAACAGGCTGATATATTGCTGAAAAAATGAACATTTTATCCCAAATTTTGCCCATTGTCCTAACCCACCTCATCAGAGCCAGGGGCAAGGGGAGAAAAACAACCTCTGAGACAGACTACCTCTCTCCCAAAGGCAATCAGACATATCAGTGAGTCAATCAAGCAATAAACATTTATTACGTGCCTACTATATATCAGGTACTGTGTTAAGCACTGGGGATACAAAAAAGAGGCAAAAGAGAGTCCCCTCAAAGAGCTTCAGGTTAGATGGGGGAGACAAAGTGCAAACAAATTTACAAGGCAAGCTAAATACAGGATAAATAGAAAATAATTAACAGAGCAAAGACTCTGGCGGGATTTTAGTTAGGACTTAAAGGAATCCAGGGAGGTCAGTAGTCAGAGCGAAGGACGAAGACCATTCCAGGTATAGGGAACAGTCAGAGAAAATGCCAGGAGCTGAGATATGGAGTGTCTTGTCTGTGGAACAGGCAGGAGGCCAGCGTCACGGAATCAAAGAGTGCATGGTGGAGAGGAAGGTGTAAGAAGACTGGAAAGGTACGTGGGGGCTAGGTCAGAAAGGGCTTTGAATGCCAAACAGGGCATTGCCTATTTTTATCACTTTTCAAGAGCACAGGGTAGAGGCTTAATGAATGTTTGCTGTCTGAATGAATGAATGGTGAGTACCCTGAAGTTGCTTAATTTCTCTAGGCTTCAGTTTCTTCCTTTGCAAAAAGAGGACAAAAACAGGGGTCCTACCCATCAGGTCGTGGGCAGCTGAATGGGCAGTGCCCTGCCTGGAGTCAGGAAGACTCATCTTCCTGAGTTCAAATCTGGTCTTTGACCCTTACTAGCTGTTTGATCCTGGGCAAGTCAACCCTGTTTGCCTCAGTTTCCTCATCTGTCAAAAGAGCTGGAGAAGGAAATGGCAAACCACTCTAGTATCTTTGCCAAGAAAACCCCAAATGGGGTCAGGGAGAGTTGGCCATGATGACTTAATAACAACACTTATCAGCTTGTTATCAAAATGAAGGGAAATAAGGAAGATTAAAGAATTTTGAAAATACAAATTGGGATGGCAAGTGCAAAGCACTGTGGCTAAGTCTCCTCTCTTTCATCAGACTGGCTACTTCCCAATGACAGAGACTGTATCTTCCGACTCTTCCTGGACTTATACCCAGAGGGACTGTGAGCTGAACTGTCTCACTCTTAGGTCTTTAGGTCAGCATGCAAACAAGACTCCCCAAACTCGTTATTCTTTTCCCTTAGTAAATTCTTCCAGAACATAGAATGGAACCTTGAATTTAAGATGAAGCACAATGATTATGCCTCACCCTATTTTAAGAAAAGGCTTTGAGGTGTTAATTCCAGTCCCAGACAAAATCGATCTCCTTGCTCCTATACAGCCCATATTGGAACTGGAAGAGGCAGAAAGAACCAAGAGGGAAAGACAGAGGAGTGAGGTATCCCTGATGAGAGGCAGTACAAGCCTAACTAAAGTAGAGACTCACCCAAGCTGTTTTCTTTGGAGGGCTCGAGGGCCGGGGAAGTTCCTCTTTTGGGGAGACGAGTGCAAAGAGGGTTTCCTTGGACTCGTTTGTAGGGAAGGTATTCATGTCTAGCTCCTCAATAGCTCTCTCCTCAGGCATGTGGCTGCAGTAAGCGGCTGGGACAGTGTCCAGCTTTCTTTGAGAAGAGGGACGAGGAGGGGGGTGGGAACTGGGAAGTGGTTTCAGGAGTTAACCCTATGCGTGTCAGCTGTAGCTGTTCTGTAGCTTATAAGGCAGAGCTGGGAATTAATTGTCGGGAGACTAAACTGATTGGTTCACTGAAATGTAAGGTGGGTAAGGGGAAAGACCTGGAAACAACTGTGAAACAGCATCTTAAACGTGCACAGTACTTTATATTCTGGGAAACATTTTCATCATCATTATCGCAGCTTATTCTGATAAACAGCTGACTACACTATATCGTGCTTTCCAGTTGGGGCTTTGTTGACGCTGATAAAAACAGTGTCACGAGGAAGAATGAGGGGAAAATGTGATGGATTGATTACCAGAGGAGGAATGATAAAAAACGCTTTCGAGGAAGACTATCTTGGCAGTCTTGAACAATAGTAACAAAGCACTTTAATCATACTAGGCACTCAAATATTTGTTGCTTTAATTTGACTTAGGCAAGGAATGTATCGATTTGCAATTGCTAATACAGTGATCCCAGCACGAGGTCATGAGTACTTGGATTTAGGGGGTGCCTGTGAAAATAGGGAGGAAGGGTCAGGATAAAAGGAATGATGCAAGAAACACCAGAAGGACACTGAAATTGGGAATTGGTGCTTCCTTCCCCATCCTCCTTGGAGGATCTGGGAAAGGTGGAGTTGATGGAGTTTTCAACGAATGGTAGACATTCTTTATCTAATTGGAGACATTTGAGACTCATCACCCTCCCTTGTGAAACTTATCCATTGATCTCTTTAGGAGGGGTGTGTGTGTGTGTGTGTGTGTGTGTGTGTGTGTGTGTGTGTGTGTGTGTGTGTGTGTGTGTGTGTGTGTGTGTGTGTGTGTGTGTGTGTGTGTGTGTAGAAATGAGAGATGGCTGACCTGAATACTCTACTTAAAGAGGTTCCGAGAAAAGCCATTGGAACAAAGGACACTGCTAAGGGGTGAACTGCAAGGGCTAACGTGACATTATGGAAGAAGGAGTTTCTGTGGCTTGGTGAAGTCCAGACCCAAAGAGTCTGGGGGAGAGGCATAGGTGTAGGGAAGAAGCAAGGTTCCTTTCAGACTTTTCCCTTTCTAGACCTTAAATGACAGCATTTGCTTCTCAAAAGGGATTCACTGAGCTCTAGACCAAGACAATGAGTGGATGAGTGTAAATTGCCACAACATCTTTCCCTTTAAACGTTAATTTAGGGAACTAAGCTGTTGTTTTTGTTGTTGTTATTGCTCTTGCTGTTGCTGGGCTTTCATTCCCGAGGAGAACCAATGACATCACAGGCCGATATCTTGACTTACACGTGGATTGGATCTAAGTGAGGCAGAGTTCTTCGGCTAGATAAAAGTCAAAGACCACGGCTCTGAATGCAGTGGGTGACCTTGGCCTTTCCTAGGCCTCAGTTTATCGAGGCAACGCCCCATTCAGTGATTAAGGGCTAGAAAGCACATCGAATAGAACAGTAGGCCTGCAGTTAGTAAAACTTGAGTTCAAAACCAACCTCAGACACTGCTTGTGACACTGGGCAAGTCACTTAATCTTTGTCTGTCTCAGTTTCCCCACATATAAAATGGGGGAAATGGTAAGTATTTACCTCTTGGGTTGTTGTGATTCTTAAATTAAATAATATTTTTTAAAACACTTAGCACAGTGCCTGGAAAATAGTAAGTTTGCCTGTTTGCCTCAGTTTCCTCATCTGTCAAATGAACTGGAGAAGGAAATGGCAAACCTCTTCAATGTCTTTGCCAAGAAAACCCCAAATGGGGTCAGGGAGAATTGAGCTCAGCTGAAAATGACTGAACAACAATGTTTGTTTCCTTTCCCCTTCATTAACATACAAGAGCAGCAGATATTTGAAAGTAAAAGTGGCATAATTAAGCACCAGAACTGTTTTGTGGTTATTGGGAACATGGTCATCTGCATGATCTACAGAGATGCGAATTTAGGAAGTGTGTTGGTTAGTTACCATAAGCTATGGTGAGGGCTCTGATCTAGGGCACCTAACCCCACAGCAGGAAAGGGGTGTTAAAAAAAAAAAAAGGCTAAGCCTGAGGACAATAATCTGAGGGGATCACTCTGCCATTTTTCAAAAGGGTTTGGTATCTTCTTGGGCTGAGAATAAGAAGGAAGCCCTTGGGCATGGATTGTGAGGGAGCAAAACCTGGGAGTCATCTACTGGTCCTAGGCTGAAACTATTTTTTATTTTGGTGAGGCAATTGGGGTTAAGTGACTTGCCCAGGGTCACACAGCTAGTAAGTACTATGTGTCTGAGACCCGATTTGAACTCAGGTCCTCCTGAATCCAGGGCTGGTGCTCTATCCACTGTGCCACCTAGCTGCCCCAGCGGGTATCTTTTCTAAAACAGAATAGCGTACCTGCCGTCGCTGAGTATTTCACTGGAGCTGTGACTGGAAGCATGAAAGACCAAGATTAATGGGAGCTTTGTATCTGCATGTAGTCAGACAGCATCAGAAGCATGAATGTGAGTTGCCCCTCCCCTTGTTCCTTTGCATGCTTTTTTTATGTGAATGCTTCTCTGCTGTCAACCTCTGTGTATGCCCACTCCTTGCTCATACTCTGTGTTTATGTGGGAGGCTGCATCCCAGGTTAAGAAGAGATATTCCCAAAAGAGATCAAGGAAAGAGGAAAAAGACTCTCCCCATTCCCATACAGAAATATTTATAGCAGTTCTTTTTGTTGTGAAAAGATTTATAAACTAATGGGGTATTCGAGAAATGGAGAATGGATAAAAAAATTATGGTATATGACTAGTACATGAATATAATAGAATATTATTGCTCCATAAGAAATACCAAAAGGGATGATTTCAGAGAAACCTGTCAAGAATTGTATGAACTGATGTAGAATGAAGTAAACAGAACCAATAGAACAATTCATACAATAATAACCATATTATTTTTTAAAAAGATAAAAGAAATAAAGGAAGGTCATTGAAGCATTCTTTAAAATGTGTAGAAAGGAACAGAAGGAAGTTCAGAGAGAAATACAGCCAAGTTAAGCTTTGAAAGTAACATTGAATTACTAAAGCAAGCTAAATGTAATAGACAAATATAATCCTCTTTTTCTTTTCTACTTTCTGTACAGAAATGTTCTCTCTTTTTGGGAGGTGTTTGTTAAATTCAGAGTAAAAAAAATTTTTTTTAATAAGGCAAATATTCTGTTTCTTATGAGGCCATTTCAACAAACTGCTGAGGGGTCAATGAGCTCAAGTTTTGGGAGTGCAGATTTAAAGAATACCTTTAACCTAGGGTATTTGTGCCCTTTGGGAGCTCATTCTGAAAGCATAAATTGGAGGTAAGGTTGTCTTTACTGGAGGGGAGGGGGGAGTAATCCAGAGGAGACACCATAAGATTATATAATAAAGTCATAACGTACCATATAAATGTCAGCTAATATTACTATCTCTTCCTTTTTCCAAATTCCTTACCCCAGCTCCCAAGGGAAAGAACTCCAGTTACAAGAGTCCAGCTTGTTTTCTGACTAAAGCATTAATGATTAAGTTAGAGACCATTCCTCCCAGAATTCTTGTTCTTTCTAACTTATTTTGACTAATGTCTATGGTGTGAGCAAATGAATAGTTAGAAATTATTAGCCAAGTTAGCCAGGGTCATTGCAGATGCCCAGAAGATATGTTATGTCACTGTCCCAGGCCTGGTCCTATATCCACTAGGGAGCTGAATAGACATTTTTCTTCATTATGCTACTTCTCCCTCCAAATGAGAGATACCACGATATGGAAGCCTCAGACCAATATGAACATGTTGGCCAAGTTCTACAGGCTATCATGGAGCTGCTGTTCCCTCAGCAGTGACTCTCTATCCAATGAATCCACTGGCAAGCCTTTATTAAGTGCTTTCTTATGAGACAGACACAATGCTAACTGCTAGGGATACAAAGAAAGGGAAATAAAGCAAAAAAAATGTCCCTGTCTTCAAGGAAGGGGCAACTAGGTGGCACAGTGGATAAAGTACCCACCCTGGAGTCAGGAAGACCTGAGTTCAAATCTAGCCTCAGACATTTTCTAGTCATTTGACCCTGGGGAAAGTCATTTAATCCTGTTTGCCTCAGTTTCCTCATCTGCAAAATGAGCTGGAGAAGGAAATGACAAACCACTCCAATATCTTTGCCAAGAAAACCCCAAATAAGGTCATGAAGAGTCGGACATGACTGCAAAATGAGCAACAAGTCCTCAAGGAGTTCACATTCCCCATTCACAACATGAAAACAGCTATGCACATACAAAATACATACAGTCTGAAGGGGGAAGTAGTCCTAAAGGGAAGGCACTAGCAGTGGGGTTTGGGGGTGAGGGGATCAGATGGAAAGAAAGTAGGGAGTGGGAAAGGCCTCTTGACAAAAGGTGGGATTTAAGCTGAGTCTTGGAGGAAGCCAGGAGGTAGAGGTAGTAATAACCAATAGAGATAATAATAATTAATAATAATAGCTAACATTCATATAGTGTTTACTAGGTACCAAGTGCTAAGTACTTTACAATTATTATCTCATTTGATCCTCAAAACAACCCTGGAAGGTAGGTCCTATTATTATCCCTATTTTACAGATAAAGAAACTAAGGCAAATTAAATGACTTGCCTAGGATTGCACAGCAGTGTTTGCTGTGGGATTTAAATTGAGTTCTTCAGGCCTAATGCTTTATCCAGACACACACACACACACACACACACAGAAAGAGAGAGACAGAGAGAGAGCCTTCCAGGCCTGAAGTAGAAGTCAGTGAAAAGACACAGAGTGAAGAGACAAAGGGAAAATGGTGGGTATCATTGGACCATAAAGTTCATGGAGGGAGAAAAGTATAAGAAGACTGGGAAGGTAGGAAGGGAAGAGGTTATGAAAACCAAGCTTGAGAATATATTGGCATTGCCTTCATGCCCTCATATACAGATGAAATGACTCCCAGTTGTCAGTTCCATGTGAATTAAGCATTTCCACCCATCCTATATTATTTAGATAAGCTGCAGAGAGTGCCCCTTCTTTCAACCCCCTTCCCCAACAGGCTGGT